GATTTCATGGTACAGAGAGTGTACATCGTGTTGGTTGTGTATGACTGTGAAATAATGTTGTCCCCGGTCGATAAAGAGACAGCCACTGGCGTTGGTTTCCACCACCACAACCTCGACAGCGTCGCCTTCGCCGTCAGCCAGCTCAGCTGTTTCTGTTTACTAAACAAAGGAGACCAGTTCATCGGTGAACGGCGGGCGGAACGTTTCGCCCGCTCACTTTTACGGCCTCTGGCCCCTTCCCTGTTACCTATTTCGTTTATTTATCATTTTCACATTTCTTTATTGTTCCACATTCAATCACGTATTACCCAGTTGTTGAAAATACCCAAGGGGAAATTCCGAGGAGAGTGAATCCCGTGAGCGATTAAGAGGACGCGGAAAACACCGAAGAGACAGATAAAACAGTGAGTACATCTAGCTATAGGCTGAGGGCACCATTATTCCTAGATAATATACGACGCAACCCTTTGGGGCCCTTTAATGGTCCCTGACCCCATTTCTCTGGATTTTGCTAGTGAAATTTGTGAGGAAATTGTCAAATGGGAATAGAACGAAATTCATGTGCTGTTGGAAATAGTTAAGATGATACGTGGGTTAGGAAGAATTTTCTTGACCTCTTCCCACCCTCTCTTTGTCTCTCTTCCTCTCTCTTTCTCTCTCTCTGGTGCACTCCGACGGGAATCGATTCCTCGAACATTCGCCATAAACCGCGGAACGTAGATTGTAGTCTGCAACCAGAGAACTGGAAAATTTTCCATAGACCACTCGAACCGTTGCTTTTTTAAAGTTTAGATCAATTAGAGGTGCGGAGTCTGTCTTTAATTGGATTCTGGAGGTGATGTTAGCTGGTGGTTTTGCATGACTGAATTTTTAGTGGGAAATATCGTTATGTAAGGGCAATTGGCAATTGGTGATGGTGGAAGAATCTCCACGGACTGGTGATTTGGAGGTGGCGTGTATGAATACGATGACGAGCCCCTCCTCCTTTCCATGTGACAGGTAGACCAGGATTTCAGTGGATCTACCCTGGGAAGAGGGAAACGTGTTTCAGGGAGTTCCAGGTATCAGGCAATTCGAGTCTTTACCATTTTGTTGGGATTTTTGTTCTGGCAACAGGTTCATTTCTAGAGGGAGAATTGCTTCTGGGTAATTTTCAATAATTTCATTGAATATAGAATATTTCAAAACAAGTAGAAATAATTGATTCAGGTGCCCAGGAATTAGGGATATCAGTTGTATTCAACTATTCATGTGTTAAATTGTTTTTCGTTTTGTTATTTTTCATTCACACAATTTTGTTGGCAAATTAATATTTTTGAAAGTATGAATCCTTTCATATTTTCATCTAGTCAATTTGTTTATTGTACATTCCATCATGAAACTCGAATTTCCCTTATCGTTTAGTAATTGGTCTGCTTACCCTATTATATTGACGAGTCAGGCTTCTTGCATTTTTTTCTTGTGGAGATTGTGAAAAAAATGAATTCTATTTTTCTTTATTCACCTGGTTTTTGCAATAGGAAACTCTCGAATTGCGCAAAGATACTTTCCAAATGGGCGTTTGGTTGGAATCATTGGAGTGATTTTGGTTATTGGTCAATCGGTATTTATTGTCTCACAGCAATCCCACCTGTGGTATTTGTTTTTTTTTATTATCCATTTCCGTGTTGGGGTACTATGAAGACAGGGATTTATCTCTCTTCATTCCCGAGGAGATTACTTGATTAGATAAGCGGTGCATTTATTTGTCCCCTTCCACTTCGTGCTTGGGAATATTCTTAGGTGATATTTGTTTATTCATTTGTATATTGTTGACAAATTCTCTTTGGATATAAGATTTTAGGAATACTTTAGATTATTAGAACAGAATTCGACAATAACAAAAAAACGGCTCCTCTAAGGAATCCATACTATATAAATACTATAAATAAAATAAATAATATATATAGCTAGAATGATGGAATGATTTATCTTTCCCAAAAGAAATGTGTTGAATATAATATAATGGTAGTTGTATTATTGGATTGTAAAAATTATAATTTTTAAAAATTGTAATTTTCAACAACCACAAAGTGACCTGAAATTTCTCTGGAATTTTTCATTAACGAATCAGTTATTCCCGGAAATTCTAGTAATTCTCAATTTTCATGTCCACATGACATTAAAAAACCGTGAAGTTAAAAATGCAATCAATGATTTTCCAGAATTTTAAATCCATCAAAAATTCAAGTTCAAAGTCCATTGAAAAATCAGTTATCATTTAATCTCAAAACCCCAATTTTCTGGAAATTGAAGATAAATGAGAAATACCGTGACCATTAATTAAAATTGAATTCCAACTCAAATAATTGGAACTTCATCTGAATTTGGGACTGGAGTTTCAATTAATCGTTAACAGTATGAATTAGCAGTTGACAAATGATCTTTCCCATTATAGAAGATGCATTTGTCAGTGTTTTGAACGTTTAAGCAATTTCTATTGGAGATTTGCAGTTAGAGAATTATAACAAAGTCACGAATGACAAATAATTGTATGGCTAATAAAATGTCATCTG